ATCAGGCTGATCAAAAGAAGCAAGGTACAAGAGAGTCTCTGTATGGTTTTATTAAATCATGTTGTATAAAACTGATCTATAGTGATAGAAATAAGATCAGTGTTGGGAGAGATTAACTCCAGGGTGGGGTGAAGGAACTTTTGGGGGTAACAAACTTGTTTTATGTGCTGTCTGGGAGGGTTCTACGTGTATATACATTTGTCACAACTTAAAGTGTACATTTAAGTTGCCATTTATTGTATATAAATTACTCCTCACTAAGATTGATTTAAAATTTTGGTTGGAAGGAAATCAAATCAGTATAGCAGTCACAGTAAATGTGAAAAATTATATTGTGCCAGTAAAACTGTTGGACTAGGTTGAGAAACAAAACCTAACCATGTCCTGTTTGAAGAAAGAAACTTTTGAAAATTTGATAAGGAAATATGAAAAATGAAGAGTTGGATAAAGATCTATGGCCCAAGAAAACAACAAAATCAGTAATTATAATAATAGACAAGGTGAAACATGAACATCAAACTATATAAATGGTTATTATGATAAAAGGACAGTTTATGAAGATCTAATAGTTAAAAGCTTATATGGCTAAATAAATACATAAAGCAAAAATAACATGGCAAATGTGTCATGGTATGGAATTTCAATACACCTTTCTCAGAAATAGATCTAGTAGGTAACAGGTGAGAATATAAAGGAGTTGACTAGTGCATTCAATAAACTGAATTACACATCAGTAGTAGTTTACATTCCTACAATAGATTATCTTTTTTTTTCCCCCAATGTCCAAGGAACTTTGGGCAAAGTTTATCTATGTCCAATACACTTGACCACAAAGAAAATCTAAACAGGTGAGAAAAGTTGAGGTTTTTTTTTTTTTTTTTTTATAGGCCGCATTGCTTGGTAATAATACTAATAATTAGAAAGAAATAATTATAAGGTGACTCCTTTGAAACCTGCCTCCTATGGAGGGTTCCCGTTTTCCCTGTATTTGTTTCTAGTGCAGAATCACCCTCAGTGTATTCTTGAACTGGAAACTTGGTAGAAGTGAGGAGTTATTAATTCTCAGTATTTCTGGTTTCGTATTGTTGAAGAGTCTTTCTGTTTCAATCAGATGTCTTTGTGTGACTGCTGGTGAAGTAAGCACAGGCAATACCGTTGTCTGTACCTGGATCATCAGTGATAATATAACACTTGACCTGAAAATGTCGTTGATACTCCTGGCCTTCCCCTTTCAATAAACACTTTTGGCCATTCACTAGAACACAGAAAATTTCAAGTTAACAATTTAAAAGAAACAAGAATACCTAATACAAGGGAGGGGGACATGGAGAATAGTATGCTCTCATGTACTGCTGGTGCAAATGTGAATCGTTATAGCCGTTCTGGAAATAATTCGGCAGCTTGGTTAACAATTAAAATTCATTTTCCTTTGGCCCAGTAATCCTCCTAAGATTCTATTCTTAGAAATTAAAGCACAAGTAGGGCCATATGTATAGGGATATTTATTGCAGCCATGTGCATAATGCCAGCTGCCTGAAAACAGAATGAGTGTTAGTAGGAGAAAGGCAGAAAACAATGCTACTTCAATAGGTTAGGAGATTATGCTTCATGGAAAAAGTGAATTAGACTAATACCTGTTTAGTTGAAGAGAGTCTCAAAAAGTTCTGTTGTATGAGAAAAGGAAGAGGCAGAAAAGTTTGTATAATAATTTGTGTAGCCAAAAATTAATTGAAGAGAACTGTGCATATGTCATGGGCTCATGAGTATGAAGAAAAATAGTTAAGAATGCTTACTAGGTGGTTAAATGTTTATCTTAGTGTGGGGTGGGTGGGAGTACTTGGGGAGAGAAGTTACGAAAGGATAATTGTCCTTTAGTTGACAAAAGGCTATCTGTGATCATAACTATTCATTATTTGTAAAATTCTATAAATGCTAGATTTAAAGATACTAAGTGAATATTTAAAATTAAAACGACCTATATCTTTTCTAAAAGTGATGCTGATTTGCAAAGACCTGAGTATGTCTATATATATGAAATCGATAGAAACTCTTAGGAGCAAAATAAGCATTATAGAAAGCCAGAAAACTTTCTGAGCTAGAAGGGCCTAAAGTGTGTCCACACACACATGTACACAACGAACGAGTAACCAGTGGGAAATTTATTAGCCCATAAACCTGGAGTGGCCTTTGTGGTTGGTTGGTTGGTACTGCTCTTCATGGGCCTTTGCATTCCTTTGATTTGTCATTCTTGATGTTGGCTTTGTGTTCAACCTCGTAGCATGATGGCTGCATTGTTGAGATGGAGTTTGGGGCACAAGTTGGTTATAACATCTGTGAGAGAAAGGGGCAGGAAGCAGAAGTGGGCAAATGAAGAAGTTGAGCTTTAGTGCAGGCCTGACAAAGGGGAGTTTAGAGCAAAGGATTGTCTGTCAGAATTGTTTCATGTTGGATTGAAATGTTCCAGCCTTTCTACCCTCTGTGGTGTGAGCTGCCCTGAGCAGGGTGTGACCTGGGGCAGGGCAGCTCCTGAAGGAACTGACACTTGGAGGCTGCCTGTTGACGAGGCAGTTAAGTCCTTCCTCAAAGGGGAGATTATGTGATACATCTCACTGTCTTTCTTAAGAATGAAAAAATAGTTCCTGGAAGCCCTCCATCAAGACTTGCCCTCACATCTAAGTATTGGATTACATGCCATGACAGAGACTAGTAATGACCCTTCTTTGCCTTTCTCCATTTTGCTAGTAAAGGGAATCCTGATTTTTCATTGAGTACATGGTCATCTGGAATAATGGCTATATTTCTCAGCCTCCCTTTACATTTAAATATGTCAATAACTTTTGGCTGACGGGATATAAGTTGAATTGTCCTATTTGACTTAGAGGGAGGGGATGTGCACTTGTTTTCTTTTCCTCCTTCCTGCTGGGTAGAATGTGGGGGTAAAAGTTGGAGTTTGAGCAGCCATCTTGGATTATGAGGTGGAAGCCACATGTTGAGGATGACAGAGCAACAAGATAGAAGAGCATTAGGTCCCTGATGATTATAGAAATCCCTTATGTGCTCTGTATTTCTTTCCTTTGGATTTTATATCTTGGTTAAGCCATTACTATTTACATTTTTCTGTCAGTTGCGTTAGGACCTAATCTTTTTATTTTTTTAGTTTAATTTTATTATGTTGTGTTAGTCACTATACATTACATCATTAGTTTTTGATGTAGTGTTCCATGATTCATTGTTTGCATATAACACCCAGTTCTCCATTCAGTACATACCCTCCTTAATACCCATCACCGGGCTAACCCATTCCCCCACCCACCTCCCCTCTAAAACCCTCAGTTTGTTTCTCAGAGTCCATAGGCTCTCGTGGTTCGTCTCCCCTTCCAGTTCCCCCCCCCCCCTTCATTTTTCCCTTCCTACTATCTTGTTTGGGAGGTACAGGGCATTAGGACCTAATCTTAACTGATACACATTTCCATGTGTATAAACCATGATTGGCTCAGACTAACATCTTGGGGGTAAAATGGACATTGGGAGTAAGGCATGGAGATATCAATATCCGGGTAAGTACAGTAGAGGGAGAGAAGGGGAAAGAAGCCAAGGGATTTGCAGGTGATGATAATTGTGATGGACCATCTTAACTAGGTAAGTGGGAAAGTCAAATGTGTAGGTGGTGGGTGATGAACGTGAAGAAGTGACCAGTGAATTGGAAGTCCCCTTAGGGCTGATGACTTCCTGGAAAAGGGGAGCTAGCCTAAATGAACTTGAGACAAAAGAGATAGTGGTCATAACGTAGGATGCCTAAAATGATGCTTTTGCTGTTACAGATAATGGCAGGGCCCAGAGGAGTGGATGACTAAGGTGGGATGGAGGAAAAGACCGTTAACGGTGAAGTTAAGAAATGGAGAGCTTGGGTTCTGATTGGAACATCTTGGATGTTGATGTAGTTGAATGGAAGACAATGAACTAGATGCTGTTATCAGTGGGTGAGAAGGAGTAACTGGGATGTCAGTAGTTAACTCAGAAAGTAGGGGAGGCAGGTCCAGAGGAGAACATCTGTTTCAGAAAGGCTGACGTTGGTGACGGAAGACAGAGGAAAAATGATCTGGAAACAGCAGTGAGGAAGGAAATAGCATCCTTCTTAAATATTAAAAAGTTACATATAACAAAAGATAACAGACACAAAATATAAACAGACACAAAAAGTAAACTGAGAAAATATATTTATAGTGTATTTAACATGCAGATGGGAGCTCCTTAATATAAAAAGAGCTCCTAAACATTAATTTGGAAAAGATAACTTGGTGGTAAAGTGGACACAGAATATGAAATTTTAATTCACAAAGGAGGAAATGCAAATGACCAGAACATATGAGAAGACATTCAAGCTTCAGGGCTGGTACCAGTCACAACATTCATGAGATATCAGGATATGCCTATCATACTGGCAAGACCTAAAAATATTGACGAACTTCATACTCAGCAGGAGTGGGGTAAGACAGGTGCTGATGGACACTGCTCGTGGGGTGTGGTAGATTGCCTTCAGAAGCAAGATGCGTGTGATGGGTCCGTTGTGTGTTGTGGCTTGATGTGCTTGCCCATGTCAGTTATGTTCTCCACAGTGTTATTGTATTAAATATGCTTTAAATATACCTGTAACTGTGTGGTCTTACTTTTTAAAAACCAACTCATACTGATAAGTAAGTTCTTACAGCCATTTTCATGGTACAAAGTACGGATTTCTTATCTCAGCTAGAAAGATTAAGATATGTTTTTGTTTACTCCTCTTGGTTTTAATGTATTTGTACCCCCTTTTCTTAAGTTTATGGCAAGTATTCTTTTCACCTAGATTTGTATAATCTGACCATTAACTATCCAGTGATTTTCTTCTGGTTATGCATTAATGTACCCACTATGCTTAACTCGTATTGAATTGAGAATTAAGAAAGATATTGATATGTGAAATTTTGTTGGACTTAAGTTTTTTTTTTTAATTTGCATTACAGACTAACTGGATCTTCTGGGTTTGTAACAGATGGACCTGGAAATTATAAATATAAAACGAAGTGCACGTGGCTCATTGAAGGACAGTAAGTAGTAATGGCTGGTTTAATTTTTTTTTTTTTCCTGAGCTCAGTGTGGCATTACTTTTTTTTTACAAGCAAAATTAACAATCTGTAACATAAAGTACTTAAAATATTTTTCATTTGATAATTTTTCATCTGACAAGTGAATTTGATTTCATTTTTCTTAATCTTCATTGTTTATCTGAAAAAAGTTTTGGGTTGGATTTAAAGCTGTGAATGAATTATACACACCAGAAATTTGTATATTGTCAGTTATAATAGTTAAAACTGTTGAATATTTCAAATGGTTTGCTTAAAGCAGTAGAAAATTACAATATTATATCATTTTTTGTAAGTACCTATTTGTATTGTGGTCAGGAAAATAAAAATACCTGTTACTGTTCAGATGGCTTCTGCTCTGGGCCCCTGTCCCCTTCAGCTCTTGCCTTTGCCTTTTCTTCATGGCAATTTTTTTCTTTTTTAAAGTAGGCTCCACCCTGGACATGGAGCCCAGTGTGGGGCTTGAACTCATGACCCTGAGATCAGGACCTGAGCCAGAATCAAGAGTCAGTTGCTTATTTGAGCCACCCAGGCAGGCGCCATTCCTTTTTTATTTTCTTTTTTAGGATTTTTTATTTACTTGTCAGAGAGAGAGAGCAAGAGAGAGCAAGCACAAACAGAGGGGAGCAGCAGGCAGAGGGAGAAGCAGGCTTCCTGCTGAGCAAGGATCCTGATGCAGGACTTGATCCCAGGACCCTGGGATCATGACCTGAGCCAGAGGCAGACGCTCAACCAACTGAGCCACCCAGGAGTCCCGACAGGTGCCATTCTTAATGGCACATCTTTAAAGCAGTGTTTCTCAAACTTTGTGGTCTCAGGTCCCCTTTACACTCCTAAATTTTGAGAATTCCAAGTAATTTTTGTTTCTGTGGGTTATCTGTGTTTATTATGTAATAAATTAACACTAAGGAAACGCTTCATTAACTCATTTAAAGGCAACGATAAACCTACTATATGTCAGCTCATGTGACATATTTTTATGAAAAAGGAAACCCTGTATTTTTAAAAAATGAGTGAAAAGAATGGTATTGTTTTACATTTTTGTACAATCTCTTGTGTCTGGCTCCATAGAAGATACCTGGATTATTATATTTTCTTCTGCATTCACTTTGTTACAATATGTTATTGTGGTTGAAGTATGTGAAGAAAATTAGTCTTCACTTGAATATGTAGTAGGAAAAGGAAGGAGATTTTAATAACCCTTTTAAATAATTTTGGATGGTCTTCTTTGATACTACATCAAAGCTTGACAAGTGCTGATTTCTTAAAAGTAAATTGCAGTGTGGAATCTGAAACAATGTTCATGAACTTTTGGAACTTAAGTTAAAATCTGTTGGTTTTCTTGTACTTTGGAATGGCTCTTTAACCTTTGCATGGTTTTGTAACAGGATATATGGGTTATTTGGAAAATCATGGTTCACTGAATTATGCAGATCTTCCAAATTTTGATATATTTCATGATATAACATGAAAAATCACTTGGTTAACATCACCATTAATCTCATCAGAAAGTTTGAAGCATTGGGAAGTTGCATCTGGGTGGCAGATGCAAATTTTCCGTAACTCTAATTATTGCTTGAAAGCTTACATTTTATCTTTGGCAACAAATACTGTCAGTTGTTTTCTTTGAAGTGATAGACTTGCTTTGTTCATTTTTTTTTTAAGATTTTATTTATTTATTTGACAGAGAGACAGTGAGAGAGGGAACACAAGCAGGTGGAGTGGGAGAGGGAGAAGCAGGCCTCCTGCTGAGCAGGGAGCCCTATGTGGGGCTCGATCCCAGGAACCTGAGATCATGACCTGAGCCGAAGGCAGACGCTTAACGACTGAGCCACCCAGGCGCCCCCTTTGTTCATTTTTAAGAAAGTATCTACCAAATATACAAGTCTGCATAACCATAGTTTCTTAGTTGTTCTTTTAAGTAAAAATGGTAGATGGCATTCCGGGAAAAAAGCAACTAGTTCAGCTCACCACCCAAACGATTGCAGGAGTGATTTTCCTTGAGACCACTGTCCTGTGTTACGTAGCAGAAGTGCTTTGTCCATACCTCCTGTCTTGTCAGGTGGGATATTCAAAAGATGTGTACTCGTGGGTCAAGATTTAATGAAATTAATAGTTTTTACCACTTAATAAAGGTATTCTTACATGAAACCCATTTTTCCTTTTTCTGTGAGCGTCTAGTGGTGAAGAATAACAGTGATTACTGGTCCAGTTTGGTGCTTCCGCCTCACTCTGTCCTAAGGTGCGGGCAGTTTCTTTCTCCCACCATTGCTCCTGCACCGTTAGTAAATGCCAACGTGCTGATAAAGGCATGTGACATTTTAGGATTATCATGAACATAGATTTGACCTCATAGACATTTTAGGATTATCGTGAACATAGATTTGACCTCGTAGACTGCCTAAAAGAGTCCCAGGGCCCCTCCTGGCATTGCGAGGCCCACAGCTCGATAACTGCTGCTTTAAGGAGTTGTTTGCCCCTATGCTTCTTATCAGTTCATTCCTATCTGACGTCCTTCTGCAGCATTCCTCTGAAGGTGCTCTTGGTGGTTCCTCCTCAGCCTGAGCAAAACCTTTAACTCCTTCTGCCCCTTATCCCCATATTCAGCCTGCCCATAAGTTCTGCCCGTTTTCCCTCTAGAATGTCTTCCCAATCCATCTCCCTTCTTTTCATCTTCATCTCTACAATTGTTGTGAGACACCAACCATCCTGTCTTTCCCGGGCCACTGTGATAGCCTTGAAATTGGCCTCCCAGATTTTGCTGTTGCCCCTTGCCCATCTCTCGCTTCTCATCTCATGTGGTGTCCTCTGTTTGCTGTGTTTCAGACACACCGGTTTTCCTCGTGTTGCTTGGACACATTAACCTCTTTCTCACTTAGACTTGAAGACTGTGCTGTTCCCTCTGTCCGAAACATGGTTCCCTATTCATTTCACACGGCTTATCTCTTGTCATTCTCATCTCTTCCAGAGGTTTCTGGGGGTAATTCCCTACCACCTGTTGTACGCATCACATTCCTTTCATATTTTCACGGTAGCCATCATCAACTGAGTTAACTTGTTTATGAACTTACTTAGTTGTTTGCTTAGAGATGTTAGGTATGTGGCGTAGAGGGAAGGCCTAGGCTGGAGACATAATTAGGCATCACCAGGATATAAACGGTGCTGATACTGCCAAGAGGTTTTTGAGTGGAGTGTTTGGGTGGAAGCCAGGTTTGAGAGCGAAGACGGTAAGTGGGATGTGAGGAAACAGAGAAAGCAAAGTCTTGTGTGAAGGTTCACTCTCTTCAGCAGAGAGAGGTAATAGCTGGAAGGAGAGTTGAGATTTTTGTTTTTATGTTTTGTTGTTTTTTGTAAAGTATGTGATACTTAAGGAAATTAAAATGAGGATGTGGAAAGTTCCAGATGAGAGGGAGATGTGAAGTGTTTGAGAGATGGACAGAGGAGTGGGCAGGTGTATCTGTTTTGGAAAATGGGGAGTTGAGAGATTTTTGTCTGGGTGCTGAGCTTAAGCAGGGAGGTGGGACCGAATGGTTTGAAACAGTAATCGGGAGTGAGCAGCAACTGTGGAGAAGGAGAGAGAGAATGAGTAGTAGCACTGCTGGCCGACTTGAAGTGCCAGGCGGAAGTTGGTGAGCTGTGACCGGTCCCGAAAGCAGCCTGCCCGGTGGTCTTGAGCACCTCTGGAGGACCCAGTGGTAGGCTTCGTTTTCTTTGCATCTAATCTAAGTCAGAGCAGTTCACTGGTGTCTTCTAGACTAGGCCTTTGCCAGGGAGTTCCATGCAAAGGCAGAAGGGTAGGCAAGTATAGAGAACTGGCAGTTGTGTTTGTGAAATGATACGGTGTGGAATCTGAAGTTGAGTAAGGAAGGAAGTGCAGAAACGGAAGGGCTAATGGGTTGGTTCACAGACTGTTAAAGAACAGCCGCTGTACGGATTGTAAGGCCCAGAGAGGCATAGACCATGGCGATTTTGTTTACCGTTGTGCGCTTAGTGGTCTCTTGCACATAGTAAGTATGAAATAGATCTTCGACAAATGATAAGGAATGTTGTTTAGGTACTATTCTTCATTTTTTACTTTTATTTATTTATTTAAAAGATGACTTATTTATTTATTTGACAGAGACAGCGAGAGAGGGAACACAGGCAGGGGGAGTGGGAGAGGGAGAAGCAGGCTTCCTGCTGAGCAGAGAGGCCCATGCGGGGCTCAATCCTAGGACCCTGGGATCATGACCTGAGCCGAAGGCAGATGCTCAACAACTGAGCCACCCAGGTGCCCTGTTCCTTGACTTTAAAAAGAAATCAATTCAACAAATATTTTTTTGTATTCCTCACATGGGGCTAGTCTAGTTGCTGTTTCATGTCAGTGAGGAGGTAACAGAGAATAAACAGTACACAAGCAGCCCAAGGACACAGGAAATCAGGGGACTAATGTGCCCTTATTTCTTCTCTCCCTGTAAGTTCTTTAAAAATCGATCTCTATCTTCTTCTCAAATGTTTTATAGTTATGATGATTATTATAAACTGCTCTTTTTGTTCTTTTCAGGCCAAATAGAATAATGAGACTTCGTTTCACTCATTTTGCTACGGAGTGTAGTTGGGACCATTTATATGTTTATGATGGAGACTCAATTTATGCCCCACTAGTTGCTGCCTTTAGGTAAGTTTTGTCACATAAGTACTGGTTAATCATTATTAGATTTTTGAATTCAGACTTATCTCCTAGATTGCAAACTTCTGTTGTCACTTGCCACCTTTATTTCATGGAGAGGGTACTAGTTCTGGAGTCCTCTGTCACTTGTGCGCTAGGCCTGACTTGGTTTCCTGCAGCCACTGGGTAAGTTTCTGGGCCGAGTACTGGACCCCTTGTTTCAGTTTCCTGATCTATAAAATCGTGGTAGTAGTATCAAGTTTATATTTTAAAAATGTTTTGTGAGTAGTATATTGGATATTATTTCTGTGAAAAATTTAAATCATGAACCACAGTCACCTTGATCCTTGCGTTCCTCATTGCATAGGCCTTCAGGAGTTATTTGTTGAGTCCAGATCTAGTTTGTGTGTGTGTGTGTGTGTGTATGCATTAATATGGGTGAGGAAAACTTTTTGGAAGAATATACAGAAAATGAAGAGTAACCTGGGGAAAATGAGGAAAATACCAATTATGTATTTTTTTTAGCAAATGTATTCTCTATTAGTAGTTAAATGAAACAGCTTAACACTAAATATATGGAGTGTTCTCTATTGTTTTGGCATTTTTGTTTTTATTGACAATAAGTAGCTCTGTTGCTTATTATGTTTTTGACTACATGGGAATTCAAAACCATCCATTTTTCTTCCTTGATAGGGCATTTATAAAATATATTTTTCTAAAATGTACATCCCCTTAGAGAGCCATAGCTGTCAGTTTTTCATCTGCAGCTGACTTTCTGGATTTCTTTATCTCAGACGTTTTATTTCCCTGACTTTATGTTTATTTATTTATTTATTTATTAGATTATTTACTTATTTATTTATTTGACAGAGAGAGACAGCGAGAGAGGGAACACAAGCAGGGGGAGTGGGAGAGGGAGAAGCAGGCCTCCTGCTGAGCAGAGAGGCCAGTGCGGGGCTCGATCCCCATGACCTGAGCCGAAGGCAGACGCTCAACGACTGAGCCACCCAGGTGCCCCGTTCCCTGACTTTAAAAAGAAATCAATTCAACAAATATTTTTTTGTATTCCTCACATGGGGCTAGTCTAGTTGCTGCTTCATGTCAGTGAGGAGATAACAGAGAATAAACAGTACACAAGCAGCCCAAGGACACAGGAAATCAGGGGACTAACGTGCTCTTATATTTCTCCACTTCCTTTGGCTTAGAATTCTCTCTAGCATATCTTTGAACTAAGGACCAAGGTCATTTTCTGGGTTTGAGAGGTTCACTAATGGAGCCAAAGAGCAGGGTAGATAGGCCATGCTAAGCAGTAAAATGTCATTGTCCAAGTGTGGGGTGTACATATTTTTATGCCAGAATTTGAAGCATACCTTGGGTTATGGCAAGAGGCACCCCAAACTTCGACACAAGCATGAAAACTGTCTATATTAAGATGTTATCATGGTAATACTTGCTGGGGGTTCACTTGACACTGAGTTCATGAATCAAGATTCATGGAGTCCCTATTATGTGCTAGGCACTATGACTCAGCTTGCCAGCGGCCCTTGTGGGAAGGGCCCAAGCCAAGCAGGTGCATCACCACGTGGCTCCCCTGGACTGTGTATTTGATGAGCACACATGTGAAGCAACACCAACAACAAAGCAAGCAGGAGGCTATAATTTTTCTAGTCCGTGACTTCTGAGAGAAGCCAAGGTATATGTGCAAATAACAGGAAGGTTTTTATGTTTCTCTAAAAAAGCTGGCTAACTGATAATATAAATTAACACATTGATTATTTTAAAAATTTAAACATAACATATTTAGTGTGAAATTTCTAAAATGATAGAAAATATGTGTCTAAAAATTGAAATTTGCCTGAAACACAAAACCCCTAAAGGCAGTGACGTTCAGAACACCTTGAAAACCACTGTTGAAGCCATAAGGGTGCCGTCACAAGATGGGGACTGAGGAGTGCTGCTGGATCAGGAGAGCTTTAGAGGGAAGAATCAACCCAGTGGTGATGTGCGGGTTGGGGGGGAGGGAGGGCAGAGTGGTCAGAGCCTGCTGACACACAGCCCAGCTAATGAGAAAAGAAGCCCGTGGGATTTAGAAGGTGGGGACTGTGTATGTCAGTTCTGCCCAAGTCCCTGTGTCAACTCGGACAGGTCACGTAAGTGCTCTAGTCCTCAGCTTCTGCTGCCTCAAGTCCCAGTGTTGTACCACGTTTCCTCTGAGTGTGTTGCAGACTGCGAAGTTCCATTTGATTCTGAACTGGTTCATCGCATTTATCTTTTACATATTGAAGTTCCGAATAAAATTTGTATATCAGATCAAGTTCCATTAGCAGACAAATCTGAGAACCGCCGGAGCAGGATTCTTCCAGCTCTACCACATTTTGATCTTGTGGTGCATCCAGCTCAACAAATGTGTAAATGTAGCCCCTTTGTGGAGTAGCTCCTCTGCGAGGATCTGTCGGGGATGCAGAGGTGGTAGTGGTGATGGAGTGGGGAGAATGGTTTTCCTTTCTGAGAACTTTCTTCATCAGAACATTATTCCTTTTAGAGTTGGTTGTTTTTTCTGGGGTGGGGGTGGTGAGTCATATATTGATAAGGCAATTGTTTAGACTGTGATGAAGAGCTGTGTGAAAGCAGGAGTCCAGCAGTTGTCCAGCACTCAGCTGACCCAGTTGACACCGTGGTCAGACCATGGCACACAGAGAAGCAGTCAAAGGCAGGCACCTCAGGTTTGTGGACCTTCTTTCACCAGGCAGAAGTACAGACCCTGACCCCTGACTTTAAGAACCTGACTTCCCTTGCACATCTCCCTGCCCTTGAGGGGCATCTAATCTTGCAGGGAGACAGGTGTGTCAAACCTAGGATCACTAGGAAACTCGGCTGGTGTAGTTGGTGAAGGCAGGGTGTGCCCCAGGTGTGTTCGGAGAGCCCATGTCTGCCTGGCACCATTCTAATGAATTAAGAAAATATCTTTGAACAGCGATTTTCAAAAATGGTTCTTACCAGTAGTTTAAAATAGAAGATTATACAGAATCCCAGGGCAGTTCTTGATTTGCTCAGGTTGAACGAGTCGCTGCCACCTAAGCTGTGGCTGCTTGTATTTATCTACCTGGGGGCAGGGGATGGGGAGGGTGGTGGGAGGCGGCTCGGGGTGATGGTTGAATGGCACGCCTGCAGCATCGCTTTCTCACCCACGTGCTTTCCATTGCCTTGCGTGCTGGGGTGAGGCTGTGTTTGTATTCATTTACTGTAGAAGTTTATTTTTTTCATAAACCAGTTGTTTTATTTTCACTGGGAGAAAGTGGCACATTCCAAAGCTGTCACAATGTCAAGTTTTCAAAGTGAAAAGAAGCCAATGCCCGAGTCTCTCTGACAGTGGGGAAGCTGACCCCCTTTCTCCAGCATCATGGTCATCTGGTGCAGACAGCCTTCCCACCCCTGCCGTGACTCTGTCCTTCCTCCCTCTGCCCGTTCTCGCACCCTTAAATGTCCCTACCATATGAATAATAAATACCATGAGCCATTGCTTACTGAGCACCTACTAGTGTGAGGCAGTGTTTCAGCACTTCACGTGCTGTAATAGTTTGCTTCTCATTATATTGCTGCGGGGCAGGTAGGATTTCTGCCCGTGTGCATTTGAGGACGCTGAGGTTCCCAGATGTCCATGACGTGCCCAGGCATGTGGAGTGAGGATCAGCGTTCCCATCTCTGGTCCTGAAGGTCATGCTAGGGGAAGAGTGCAGGCCTTCCACATGTGACTGAAGCCCCCAGTCATTCCTGGGCCGGTGTTTCTTATGAGAAGATTACTTGCAACATACCTGGCCCTCTTACAGGTACTTCCCTGTTCAGCGTTTTAAGGGGTTCTGGTACATAAAATTGATGAAAGCATGATGATGATGGTTGAAAACTTCACATAGGTCTCTGATCAAAGGTCACCTTTTCCGAGAGGCCTTCCCTAGCTGCCCCTTTCTAAAGTAGCACCTTTTGTTCTTTCACTGTTTTTTCCTTTCCATAGCACTTATCTCTGTGTGGTGCTACGTACACACACCTGTGTGTCGGGGCAGGGGGTATATCCAGGTGTATCTAGTCGTTTCTCTAATGTGAATTCCATGGAGGCAGGGTGTTCTTCACTGCTGTGTTCCTAATACCTAGAACAGTGCCTTACCTGCAGCATCGGTAAATATTGGTTAGTTGACTACATGATGCAAAATGCTTCACTGTTTTGTAAACCCCGGAGCACGTTTGGAGTTCTCGAGTTCCTAGAATTCTGTCTTTATATTTAAAAGTTGTATTGAATGAAAATCCCGGCCCCTCCTCCTCATTTCTCGTTTCTGTGTTCTTCAGTTTCGTTATTTTTATATGCACTTATCTAAAATTTTGTAAATGTACACATACACTAGGCCCATTGTTTTGCAGCTTGTTTTTTTCCCCTACTTATCAGAATGCCTTGATGAGCTTCTTGTTGGGTTCTGCAGACTTACAGATATGGAATGATTCATTCATCTGACTCCCCGCAGATGAGCATTTACGTGGTCTTCTTCTTCCTCTTCCTCTCCTCCTCCTCCTTTTAATTAAGTAATCACTATGCTCAACGTGGGGCTTGAATTCATGACCCCTAGATCAAGAGTCACATGGCCTGCCAACTGAGCCTGCCCCTAGGTGGTTTTCAACCTGTGCCATTTTGAATAGTGCTGCAGTGAAGATTGTTGTATATTTGTCTTTGTATACATGAGCAAGTGTTAGTTCTACAAAGAACTTAGAATTGCTAGGTCACAGTGAAGATTGTCATAGGCCCTGAGCGGGGAGCTTACGTGATGTGTGCTGTAGGAAAGCAAGGAGGCCAGTGTGGCTGGGGTTGAGCGAGTGAAGCGAAGAGAGTAATAGATGAGATGTTTGTTCACTGGGTGGGGTTGTGTGTGTGGAGCAGATTGCATAGGGCCTGGTAAAGATTCAGGTTTTCACTGAACATGGTGGTGGTGGCGGTGATAGTGAATTGATAATTGGGCAAAAGATGTGCACATATGAAGAAATGCGGAAGGTAAGTGAACAGGAAAAATGATTAACCTCAGGAGTGTAAAAGAAACTCAAAACCACAAAATAAAAGAATTAACTTGTTTATAGCAGCAGTGTCCACAATAGCCAAACTATGGAAAGAGCCAAGATGTCCATCAACAGATGAATGGATAAAGAAGATGTGATATATATATATATATATATATATATATATATATATATATATACACACACACAATGGAATATTATGCAGCCATCAAAAAAACACCCCAAAATCTTGCCATTTGCAACGACGTGGATGGAACTAGAGGGTATTTTACTAAGCGAAATAAGTCAATCAGAGAAAGACAAGTATCATATGACCTCACTGATATGAGGAATTCTTAATCTCAGGAAACAAACTGAGGGTTGCTGGAGTGGTGGGGGGTGGGAGGGATGGGGTGGCTGGGTGATGGACACTGGGGAGGGTATATGCTATGGTGAGAGCTGTGAATTATGTAAGACTGATGTATCACAGACCTGCACCTCTGAAACAAGATAGTAGGAAGGGAAAAATGAAGGGGCGGGGGAATCGGAGGGGGAGACAAACTATGAGAGACTATGGAATCTGAGAAACAAGCTGAGGGTTTTAGAGGGGAAGGGGGTGGGGGGATGGGTTAGCATGATGATGGGTATTGAGGAGGGCACGTATTGCATGGAGCACTGGGTGTTATACACAAACAATGAATCATGGAACACTACATCAAAAACTAATGATGTATGGTGACTAACATAACATAATAAAATTAAATTTAAAAAAATTACTTTTCATTTACTAAATTATCAAAGCTAAAATAGGACTGGTAATTAATCCTTCCTATTGTCAAGTGAGGTAGGATGGACCTTTCCATTCTCATATTTTTTTTTAGGATTTTATTTTATTTTTTATTTTTTTAAAGATTTTATTTATTTGACAGAGAGAGAGCGAGAGAGGGAACACAAGCAGGGGGAGTGGGAGAGGGAGAAGCAGACTCCCCGCTGAGCAGGGAGCCCGATACGGGGCTCGACACCAGGACCCTGGGATCACGACCTGAGCCGAAGGCAGACGCTCAAGGACTGAGCCACCCAGGCACCCCAAGATTTTATTTATTTATTTGACAGAGAGAGCGAAAGAGCACAAGCAAGGGGAGCAGAGGGAGAGGAAGAACCAGGCCCCCTTCAGAGCAGGGAACCTGACGCGGGACTCGATCCCAGGACCCTGGGATCATGACCTGAGCCCAAGGCAGATGCTTAACCATCTGAGCCACCCAGACGCCCCCCATTCTCATACTGATGAGATTTCAAGTTAGCATGTTGCTTCTGGAAAGCAAGTTGGTTTTATGGATCAAGAGCCTTAAAGCCGTCATTTAGACCCTTTGACTTGATAATTTTTAATGCTCTTTAGACACCTAGCAAATATATTGTGTGTTGGACTCTGAATGAGATGGGAAATGCTTGTGATATATTTCTTGTAAAATAGAATATAAGATGTTATATGGTATCAATTAGGCAAAGAAAGTACATCAGAATGTTAAGTGTTAGGATTGTGGGTGTTTATCAATTTATTTATTTATATTTTTACTTTTCATGCTTTTCAGTAGTTTATATTTGGCATTCATCAACTCATAAAATTTGTTACTTTCTGTGATTTTGAAGGTTTACTCAGTTTTTCGAAGAAGCAACATAAATAGTTTTATATACAAAAAAAAGAAGAAGAAGAATAGGGCCATTGAGTGCAAAGCTCATTAGAAATATTACCAGGATGAAGGAGAGCCTAGCGAAAGATTCAGATCTGTTCCTCAGAGGATTCAGAACTAGATCCAGAACTAATTGGGTGGTGTGACGCATTTATCACAAGAATTTGCCCCTCTTCCTGAAAGTGTTTTTTCAGATTCTAAGGATGAACTCCAGTTTTGAATTTGTGTGCTGCCATGTGCCGTGCCTGGTGACCATGCTTCCCTTTGTAAGAAATGTGTTTTCGTTTCAGTGGTCTCATCGTTCCCGAGAGAGATGGCAACGAGACTGTCCCCGAGGTCGTTGCCACATCAGGTTATGCCCTGCTGCATTTTTTTAGTGATGCTGCTTATAATTTGACTGGATTTAATATCACTTACAAGTAAGATATTTAAGTCTAATCTTTGTGATTTTATTCAAAGACTGTATTTGTTTTAACAGTAATAACGACTAACATATATTGAGGGGTGACAGTGTGCCAGGCATTGCACTAAGCAGTATGCATGGGTTTTCTCATTTAAAGTTCTTTTAAAAACTCCGTGAGGTACGGGCACTATGTTTTCACTTGTTCTATAATTGAGGAAACTGGTGGGAAGTGGTAAAATACATTGTCAGAGTGCTGGGACCACAGTTTCAACCCAGGTCTTAACTGCTTTTGAGCTTCTCCTGGAAAAGAGGGGCATTTTTCTGCTAATGGATGAAAACATTGGGGTTTCTTGCTAAGTGCAGTTTAACAGATACTAGTAGTTTTCACGTGCTCAGTGGTTGGCCCATTGATGAGGACTTAGTTGAGGTTACGAAGGAAATGTAGACAAACAGACCTAGACAGCTTTGGGAATTTGTTGTGATAGGAGAGAGGCTAACTTTTGTCTTTTCTTTTTTTCCTCGTAAGAAGTGTTTGTTTTCATTTAGTTAAATCCATAAAGCACCCTAAGCAAGAGGTCTCTGATAAAGAGCTTCTGTGGCCCACAGAGCCTAAGATACTATTTGGTTTTTTTACAGAATAAGTTTGCCAACTCCTGGCAGAGGCAGTAAGCTCCATGTATAACCTTTATGCTGGATTCTTTTTCTGCCTGTTTTCTCAGGGTCTCCAGATTCTTTCAGGCCTATCTAGAGCCATCTCTGTCTTGCTTGGTTTGCTGATTTAGCTTTTCAGGTGCCCTTGGTTTGTGACTTGGTAGCCTGGGCAGCATATCACAGTACTAGCAAGGTGATTTTTAGTGAGCCAGGCAGGCATAAAGGCTGGTTGAGGGGAAAGACTGATAAGTCTGGTTGGGTACATGTGAGATGTCTAAGCAGGACATTGGTATTCAGATCCAGGGCCCAGAAGAGCTGTCAGGGCTGGGGATATCATCTGGGAATCACTGGCACATGGACAGTGACTGGATTATGGGGTGTGTGCACAGTGAGGACAGGGGCAGTAGAGGCAGCTGAAGGGCAGAGCAATGCCAGGGGGCTGAGTTGTCACAGGAGCTCGGAAAAGAAAGTCTTAAGGAGGGAACTGAGGTTGAGTAAGCAGAACGGGCCCTAGGTGACCCTAGCTGAGGAGGGTTGGAGGCAGGGGTCTACAAGGGGCATAGTTCAGAATGGAAGGTTAGAAAGTCACAGCATTGAGAGTGGGACACTCTGGGAAGAAGTTCAGCTCTGAAGGGCAAGGGAGAGGTTTAGGGCGGTACTTTTCAAACTTCACATGCACAGGGATCTCCTGGAGGGGCTTGTTAAGACAGATCCCTGGCCCTTCTCCAGAGACCACAGTTCGACAGAGCTGGGGCTTGAGAATCCAAATTTCTGATAAGCTCCTGGGTGATGCTGCTGCCGCCTGTCCGTGATCGATACTCTGAGGAGCATTGCCCTAGCCATTCATCTAGGCCCCATTCTGGGCTCCCTACAGATTTTTTTTTCTTTTAAGATTTTATTTATTCATTGGAGATAGAGACAAAGAGAGCACAAGCACGGGGAGAGGCAGAAGGAGAGGGAGAAGCAGGCTCCCCGCTGAGCTGAGAGCTGGATGCTCGATCCCAGGACCTGGAGATCATGACCTGAGCCGAAGGCAGACGCTCAACCATCTGAGCCACCCAGGCGCCCCGAAATTCATGTTATTCTTACCCTGATTGGTGTAGGGGAAGCCTTGATCTCTTCTGGAGACCAGAATTAGTATTTATTTGTTAAGCGGAGGAATGTTGAGGTTATCCTAAATTTTACTAACTTCTTGGTTACAAGATCCCTGTTCTGCAAAAAGGAGCCCTAAACCATTTTGGGGCTTTTAGACCCTTTGAAAAGCCAAATAAAATGATGTTCTTTATTCCCAGAAGAATGTCCAGAAAGACATACATAAAACATTGTTATTCCTTTTCCACGTGTCCTCAGGTTGCACTGAATCCTAGCTTTGGGCCGACCTCAGCTGGGGGACCCTTGAGACTAGTACCCACAGCTACTTCAGTGTTGCCAAATTTTCTTTTCAAAGAAGAAAAAAATAGTTATATTTTATTTTCACACAAACTGGCTCATCTTACTTCCCAGTCACATTTTAAGCACAGATAATTAGACTAATTTTCTCATTACTCCAATTTAGACATACAAGCAGATGTTTTGATGTATTACCTGCCACTTTCATTTTTCAGAGATTCAAAAATGATTTTTGTGTTTTGAGATTTTTTTGTAACTTTAAAGAGTGCTCATAATTAATTTTTGGCACATGAAGTAAACGTATGCCTGAGGGCACTGGAGTAGAGAAGTTGAGGGGCAGGGGAAGTTGCGATATTTGCCCTCCTTCAGCTTAGAAGGTGCTAAGGGTTACTCCCTCCCCTTCCTTTTTCAGTAACATTAAGTTTTGTTTGCTTGCCATTCTCTTGTATACGGTTAATAAGTGTGTCAGTAGGAAATTATAATTTGACATATTTTTGGTATGAGGCATAAGGGTGAGCACATCATGGCAATGCTTTACTGCAGTTTTATTCTAAGCTTTTTATAAAAACAAAGTGTGGTTATTGTAGCCATTTTATTGTAACAAGTCCAATCTGCAATTTAAACTTTAGTTTTTATAAACTGTTGTCTTGCAAAGGCCTTTTTCTTAATAAAGATGAAATTGAAGCCTCTCTTCCGTGTTTGTATTGTTATAGAGACAGTAGACACCACTTTTTAGAGGCCTATAAGAATGTCATTCAGCTTTTTTAGCCAAATACTTTGTGTACTTATTCTGCTTACTGGGGCTTGAAAAGTAGGTATACACATTTCTTACATTCTAATTACACAGATTATAAAAATACTGTATATAAATATTTATAGTGTAATAAACTGATATTTGGGTGTAGGTGTGAACATTAATTAGCTTGTTTTTTAATAACTGATTCCTGATTTTTTGACATGCTTTGCTACAAAATTTCTTTTTAGTTTTCTTCATAGGCCTTAGAAGAAACCATCTACACTCTTAAAAGTATCCTGATAGTTCGGTTATTGCTCCCCCCTTTAAGAATCTGAATTATGTCTTCTCAGAGTGCTGTCAATATCTTAAGTCATGTTATTATGCGACACATTATAGTTAAACTGTTGAGTTAAACTGGTCCTCCCTTTTCTTCCATCTGACATGAGTAGATAAACTTATGGAGGAATTTTAAATACACCAATCTGGGCAATAATCTTTAATTCTCTGAACTTTCAGAGACTGTCCAGGGGTATACACACCATGAGGTTGGGTAATATATTGTTAGCACTTTGTATTATCCTCTTCCTCCAAACTTGCAAGCTTGCATTTGACAATTTTCTTTTTTCTTTTTTCTTTTAATTTTTATTTATTTGAGAGAGAGAGCAAGTGAGCATGAGCAGGGGGAGGGGCAGAGGGAGAGGGAGAAGCAGACTCCCCACTGAGCAGGGAGCCTGACATGGGGCGCAGTCCCAGGACCCTGAGATCACAACCTGAGCCAAATGCAGATGCCTAACCGACTGAGCCACCCAGGTGCTCCTCATTTGACAGTTTTCTAATGCTCATCACTGGGGGGGCCACCAAGAACAGCATAGTCATCCCTCCCTTGAGAAGCTAAGCCTGGACATTTTGCAAGAATTTCTTCTCCCTTTTAAGTTTTTTAACTTGCCTCCCCTTATGAGAATCCAGCAGGGTTGGATTTGATTTCATTACCTGCCTTTGCAGTGTTGAGTGATCCCATTTAGGCCCACTGGTAAGTACTGCCATTATGCTTGTGAATGAACTGGAAAGCCAGTGAGAGTCTTAAACCATGTGTAGGTGAAAGTTCTGCTAAGTAAGTGTGGCTTTGTGTTGATTTCATTCTCTGCCACTGTTTTTATAGTTTTGACATGTGTCCGAACAACTGCTCAGGCCGAGGAGAATGTAAGAGCAATAATAGCAGCAACACTGTCCAGTGTGAGTGTTTGGAAAACTGGAAAGGGGACGCATGCGACATTCCTCACTGTGTCCATGACTGTGGTTTTCCTGATCGAGGTATTTGCAATTCGAGTGATGTCAGAGGATGCTCCTGCTTCCCCGAGTGGCAGGGTAAGAGCTTCTTTTATCTTTGTTTTTCTTCCAATTTACAGCATCTTCCTAGTTCAGTAAATTGTACATTGACTTCATTCCTTGCATATGTACCACTTATGTTAATCAGATATCAGGTAGCATTGAAGTTTTTGTGTCTCCTTATTCAGATTCTTAAAAATCTTTCCATTTCATAGATGTGTGGTCGTGGTCTCTTTAGAATTGTGGAGGGGTTTGACATTCTTTGCAATTCATTCATGAAAATTGGAGGACTTGGTCTCAGCCTCAAGAAAACATAGCAGAGAACCAAGGCTAGGAGGTGGGACGAGAACTAATGATAGTATCTCTCAGAAACTTTCAATAAATTCGGAAAAAATTGGGGTTGATTATACAATAGAATCCTAAAACAGCGAGTGGAATTATCTGCAGATAGAGAGGTTATCAGAGAAACTTTAGCAAATTCTTTAAGGGTTGTGTGATAACACCTGTTACTGATTTAGTAATTTTCTTTATATATTTACCTTTTCTTCAGAGCACTTTTATTTTGAAAGGAAATGTGCTTGTTTAAATGCTTTTGTTTGTGTACTTTGGCGGACATCAATGAGTTAAGTAACTGAAGTGTTTGAGGACCTACCTCTGTGCACAGGTTGCAGCAGGAGCCACACCCCCCAAGAATGGAGTTTCTTAATTTTCCAGGAATTGGATGGGTTGTATTATTACTCCCGGGGCTAGTCCTTACATTTTAACCCTAAAATTTTTCATTTGAATTAATAATTTCTTTGTCTACTCTTTCCTCTGAGAGCTGCTTAAGCAAGTATTTCATTACTAAAAAATCCTAACCTGGATATGGTCATGTCATCATGAGAAAGTATGTGATTTTGAATTTTACTAGAGATGACCCTTGGTCACCAGCTTTGAGTGAATTGAAAGCATGAATTAAAGGGTTTTGTCTGATATTTAGATGCTAAAGGAAAGACTAAGTATTCTTTAGATATTTGTTACATTTATATGATTAAAACTTGAAATGCAGTAATTTTAAAGCTGCATTTTTGTGAAGCTAATTTATTCTGTTTTATTAGGTCCCGGATGTTCAATTCCTGTACCAGCTAACCAGTCATTTTGGACTCGAGAGGAATATTCAAACCTAAAGCTCCCCAGAGCCTCTCACAAAGTTGTGGTCAATGGAAATATAATGTGGGTTGTTGGAGGATATATGTTCAACCACTCAGATTACAACATGGTTCTGGCGTAAGTTGTTTTAAACATTTTTGCAAGAAGCTTACTAGTTTTCCATTTTGAAAATTTATGAAGTAGAGATAAGTGAAAAGAAATCATCAGTAATTCTATTACCTGAGGAAAATCCCTGTTAATATTTTAGTAGTAGTGTTCCAGAATTTTTTGGACATATTCTTAGTTTTTGAAGTCTGGACCCACAAAGAATGCATTGTTATAATAAGCAAGAATTCATCTTTTCTAGATACCATCTCTTATATTTTGCTTTAGGCTGTATATAAATTGGGGGTTACTTTACCTGTAAATTTAATTAGCATTTCTGTAGATCAGATGGTTTGAATTTATAGCTTGCTAGAGGAAATTATGCCATTGTCTAATACTTGACCCAGAGTTCAAGGTCTGTTTGCTGGTCCTATGTTGCTCATCTTAAAGGGAGACTATATGGAATCACAGTGGAGTCACGAAGTTACTTACGAAGATTGATTTTAGGAGAAATTTATGAACACAAACTCATGCTGATTTTGTGCCCTGGAAATTTTTTCTAGGCATTTTTTATTAATGAAGATTGTCAAAAACCAGCATCTGTTCTTTAAGGGATTCAGAAACTATGGCAGCAATGGCATAGTTTCTGAATCCCTCAAATAGTCATTAAAGCACATAGACAACTAGGATAGCAAAATGAAAAAGCACATGGGTAACAAAACAAAACTTGGTCAGAAGGTGTCTACACAGATGGGTGGTGCTAACAATTGACAGCTGCAAAACCTGTGTGGTATTGGCACCTGAGCAGGAGTAAGCAAAGAGGGGGAGTAAGTGGTCAGCTGACAGGCTCCAGCATACCTAGAAGAAGCTGCTTTGAGAACGGCAGCCAGAATTGGAAAGATTTGTGTATTTTGGTAGGGGGTGAGCACAGGGGATCTGTAGTAGGATCTGAAGGGGCTAGAGCAGTTTGTGCCTGTTTAGCTCTCAAAATGAACTAGCCAGTCTCTTCACAAGAGAAAGTTCCACACTAAGGAGAAACTGCTGGGAATAGAATTCAGATTGAAGAGGATAGGGACCTTAGAGGAAAAGTTAAACGAGTGTACAGATAACAGTCAGGGAGGGGAACAGAGCCAGATATCTCAACAAGTAAGCTGCTGTGTTTTGAACACCACACTGTTGACAACAAGAGTGAGCTAGTTAGGAAGATGGTCCTAACCCAGGCCTCTCATGTACAAGTTCAGGAAAAAGTAGTTTTACTTAAAACTGAGCAACAGAAAAGCATCAAGTTTTAATAACATAGAAAATTAAAAGTTGAAGTAACATAGAAAGAAGAAAGAGACCACCTGGTAGAATAACCCCCCTTTGTACGTGAAAGCATAATAGAAAAATATACTCACAAAACTGATGAAAGTGAGAACTTATTATTCCCAAACAAGCTAAAATACAGGAAGAAAATGATGCAAGACATGAAAGAACAATAGAATCAGAAGTAGAAAAATCCGGAAATGAGATGGTAGAAGTTAGGAAAGAATTTTAAAATAATTTCAGAATTGAAGACAAACCCAGTAGGAACACAAAGTAAATAAGATACTCCTTTATTTTTTTTTTTTTTAAGATTTATTTCTTTATTCTAGAGAGAGAGTGCGGGCGCACACAAACACAGGAGTGGGGTCGGGGGAGAGGGAGAGAAGCAGACTCCTCACTGAGTGCGGAGGCTCATGTGGGGCTCAGTCTCACAACCGCAAGATCATGACCTGAGCTGAAACCAAGAGTCAGATACATAACTGACTAAGCCACCCAGGTGCCCCAATTCTCCTTTAGTAATAGAATATGAAAAAGGAAATTACTAAAAATCACAAAGAAATGAAGGTCACTTTTCCCCTATCCTTTATGGTAAGTACAGTTAAAAATCCTGGACATTATATATAATGCAAACATGAGAAAACTCTAAAAGGTAGAGAGAAGGCATTCTGGCTAGGGACCTTGGGACCCAAGGAATGAGGTAATGGTAAATTCCAGGGGTCTTCTTTTTGTCTCATATATCTCAGATTTGTTGTTGGAAAAAGCAACAATCTGGAAATGCCAGTAGGCACAAGGTGAAAAAGCCCCATGAATAAGCCCACCTGTTCTCTCTAGCCTAAGGACTAGGAGAGGGGCAGCTTAGGAAGACAGAAAACTTTTAGACACAAATCACTGCTCTACTACAGCCAAACACTACAGAAAAAACTGTGGCCCCACCCTCATTCCTGTCAGCAAAGTCTGAGTGTAGAGTCTAGATTTTCACTCTTGCCAGGATCTAGTGAGGTACTCCAACCACCTCCCAATTGCCAGTGTTAGAAAAGACCAATTAGGGAGCTGGGACTTTCTCAGCAATCTGGTTTTTGTGTAACCTAGTTAATATTTAGCCTTTTGGTTTTTGTTTTTGCATGTTTTTTGCTTACAGTCTTAATCTCTGAAGGCCAGTTAGAGAACTGGAACTTTCTTCTCCACCAGGCAGGAACGAGGTTTCCCCCACCCTTGTGATGTCAGTGGAGACCTTGTGGGGAGCCTGGATTCTACCCCACGCAGGAGTAATAGCAGTAATAAGTTGGCCTTCCCTCTTCTCTACTGGGGTGTCAGAGGATGCCTGCTATAACAGTAGATTTAAATAAGATCCGGAGTCTCATGCCATGAAACCCAAAATGTTCAGATTTCAATTGAAAATCATTTCTCCATGTGAAGAGCCAGGAAAATCTTAACTTGAATGAAAAAAGGCAGTTGAGATGGTGACAGCAGGATGACATAGATACTAGAATTATCTGACAAGATTTTAAAGCAGCGATTATAAAAATGCCTCAGTGTGCAATTATAGACACTGAAACAAATGAATAATGGAGCCTCATCAAAGAAATAGAAGATAGAAGGAAGAATCAAATGGAAATTTTAGAACTGAAAAATACAGTAACCAAAACAAAAATCTCAGTGGACAGGGTCAACAGCAGAATGGAGAGGACAGAGGAAAGAGTCAGTGAACTTGAAGATAAAATAATAGAAATCCCACAATCTGAACCAGTGAGAAAATAGAATATTTAAAAAAATAAACAGAACTTAAGAGACCTGTGGACCATAACAAAAAAAATCTTAACATTTCTGTCACTGGAGGAGTCCTGGAAAGAGAGGAGCCAAGAGAGAGTGTCTGAAAAACTATTCAAAGAAATAATGGCTGGGAATTGCCCAGATTTGGCAGAAGACATGCATGTACGTGCAAGAAGTTGGGTGACCTCCAGCAATCCTTGGCTCCCACAGGGGTTCACAGTCCTTTGGTTTTGTCTCAGTCTTGCTCTCATTCTTCTGCTCAGCTGCCATATTTCTTTTCAGTTTTCAAATTTCCACATTTTTGCCCGTGTTCATTCTCAGCTATTGGCCTTGCTTCCTGTTTCTATTTTGAAAGGTAACGGTTATCCGAAGAGGATTTGCACAAACTCCCACCACCATATATAGCTATTACCTACATCTGTGCTCATTTATCCCGTCTTCTGTTTCTGTACATCACCACTGTCTAGTGGGGCGCTGTCATGTCACTAGCCATGTGTGGTCATTGAGCTTGAAATGTGGCTAACGTGACCAAGGAGCTGAACTTTAAATTTTCAATTCTTGGTCCTCATCTTACTTGATTTTTCACCAACATTTCATATAACTAGTCCCTCCCTCCTTTTTTTTTTTTTAAGGTTTATTCATTCATTTGAGAGAGAGTGTGCACGCTTGAATGCACACACAAGTTGAGGGGGGAGGGAGAGGGAGAGAATCCCCAAGCAGACTTCTTGCCGAACGCAGAGCCTCAGGCGGGGCTTGATCCCAGGAACCTGAGATCATGTCCTGAGCTGAAATCAAGAGTTGGAAGCTCAACAGACTGAGCCACCCAGGCGCCCCCCCCTCCACTTTTAAACACTTTTTTCCGTTGGCTCCCAGGATTCTGTATTCTCTTGGTATTTGTTCCAACTACTTATTCTTTCTCAGCCTCTTTAGCTGGTTCCTCTTCAACTGACTGACTTCTGAATGATGATGTGCTGCTCCAGGGCTCAGCTCTTGGTCCTCTTCTGTGAGAGTATATATTCACTCTCCTGGTGATCTCATGTAATATCTTGGCTTTTATGTTGATGACCCCCAGATTTATGTCTGCATCCTAGACTTTTCACCTGAACCCATATCGCCACCTCTTTATTTTACATCTCAATCTTTTGGCTGTCTAAGAGGTATCTTAAACTGTATGTGTCCAAAACTGATCTTTCCTCTAGGCCAGTTCTTGCCCCAGATGTCCCTATCTCAGTTAATGACTATTTCATACTTCTTTTTGCTTAATCCCAACATTTTGGAGTCATCCTTGACTTCTTGTTTTTTCACTCCCCATTTCAATGAGTAAATTAGCTATCACTTGCTGCATAACAAATGACCACAAATGTAGCAGCTTAAAACAGAACATATTTATTACCTCATAGTTTCTGCTGGTCAGGAGTCTGGGCATATCTTAACTGGGTGCTTTTCAGTCGGGGTGTCACCTGGCCTGTCTTCTCATCTAGAGGTTCAACTGGGAAAGAGTCCACTTCCAAGCTTGCTAGAGTTGTTGACAGAATCCATTTCCTTGTGGTTGTAGAACTGAGGGCCTCAGCTTCTTGCTGGCTGTCAAGTGGAGGCTGCCCTCAACTCCTGGAGGCCTCCCACTGTTCCTTATCACTTTGACTTCCCTAGTGTGGCTACTTGCTTCATTAGGTCACAAGGAGAGTCCCTCTTTAGATTGGGTCTCCTGGCAGGACAGATGTCGTGGAAATGACATCTCATCATCTTTGCCATGTTCTGTTGGTTAGTAGCGAGTCATAGATCCTGCTCACGCTTGGGAGGCTATTATACATGGGTATGAATACCCAGAAAGGGAGATAATGAAGACCACCACCCCAGTGGCTGTCTGCTACAGTATGTCAGCAGGTCTTGTTAGCTTTACCTTTAAAATCTACCCCCACTCTAACCACTTTTCACTACTTCTCGTGCCACCACCTTGA